CTTCACATAAAAAACTATTTATAATGAAAAGTGAAGTTATTCAGTACATAAGTACATTGCTGATAGCTAACCGATTAAAAGGATGAGGGATATCATACAGGAAAGAGAAAAGAAGCAGTGCAGGCTCATTACCAGGATCAGTTAGCCATCCAAATGGTAGCATGTCCAAATCAGGCCAGGAGTTCCCCAATAAACCTTTTGCTCCTATCATATTAGCATTTGAAAAATCCCTGATTCAATCAAATGAACTAAATTTATATGATATAATATAATAATGGAATAACAGATCAGTTATTGAGAAGCAACATAATTGCAAGGTACTCTGATATAGTGTTTGGTTGGAGGAGAATAGAGGGGAGGGGAGGGGAGGAGAGGGATTTTTAAAAACTTTTATTGTTTGGTTCAATTTTTAGAAGGGAGAAGGGGAATGGAGAGGAGCAAAACCTCTCTTCCTAATTTTAACTTCCCCACCAACATTGGATGGATTTGAAGGAGAGAAGAGGGATTTTAAAACATTTTTAGTATAATGTCTAAAATATCTTTATTTATGTTATTAAATTTAAAATTATAAGGATACAAAAGTAAATTCACTTTTAAAATGTTTCCTCTTCCCTTGTGAACCAAACAAGAAAAGAGATTTTAAAATGCTTACTTATGTACCAAATAACTTTCCATCCCCTCCTCTCAACCAAACAAAATTTCTAACTCCTTCCTTCCCTTCCCCTTCCCTCCCCTCTCCTCCTTTAAAATTTCTCCCCTCCGATGAATCAAATGGGACCTGAAGAAAGGTACTAATGAACTAAAATATTATGATGTAACCACCTAGTTATATCAAAATGAGCTTTGACATCCCTCCATGTATCCCAGTCATCTCCTGTTATACGATACATATTGACCAGTCCACTGACATCCTTGGCCATGGCTGGTGTCACGCTGGTTCCAGGAGACAAAGAATATACAATGGGGCGATCAAACTCCTTGAGAACCTGGAATGACATGTCATCAGTAGTTCCCATGGGTCTTCCATAATATTAACAATCTCAGTTTCAATATGAGAATAAGAAGGAGGGATGGAGAACTGCAGAATACCTCAGACACATAGCTTATTTCATTTAAATCAAAGTCCGTCCCAAATACACAGTCATGTTTCACTGCATGGAAAGTAGAAAAGCTGTTAAAATAACTTTGAATGAAAGGCAGAACTGCTTACTATAGTTTACATCCCATTGAGTACTTTTATTGCTTTTCTACTTTGGCATAACCCCTAAATTAAAATTATGAACAAATAGGCAATCTATAGAAATGTGATGCAATAACATGCTTCACTTATGCTTCACTTACCCAAACTTGGTGGAGATGATGCAATAAAATGTTAAAAATCACCATGACTGCTTTCAGTGACATGAATTCGTTGTGATAGAGCACTATAAACAGAATGTAAAATCGTAGTTCAATTACCAAAATCAACATTCCATGAAGCATACTGCTCATAAAGGGATCTCAAAAAAGCTTTCCCAGCACCCAATTTGGTATTTACGCTCATGAAACCATGAGACATCCATGCACAAGCTCTTTCTGGGATTGCTATGTCTTTTGCATACCACACTCGACCAGATTCTTGATAAGCACCTCCCTAAGAAATTAAGAGAGGAGGAGATCAATAAGAAACTATGGATTAAGGTATAACAACACCCTCATCCCTTGCATATAATGTTATATTTTTAGATAAAATGCATTGCATGAATACATGGTGCATCCATTACAACTGATTTTTGTTCTTCAAAAAAGAAAAAGAAATATTACCAGATTATACATTATAGCATAAACACAAAGCAATACCGTTGTTGTATCAAGGATAGGGGTGTTTGCGTGGAGAGCTTGTGTGCTTATCCCTCTCATGACATGAATCCCAAATTTTAAACCCATGCTATGTACTTGATTAGCTACTTCAGTGAATCCTTTCCCATTTTTGGAAGAAGGCCATCTTCCTGGGTCAGGAAGCATCCTCCCCCAGTCATCAATCACGTCAAACCCAAAAGAATCATGATGAGCACCCTCGACTTTCCTTCTATACCAAAGGTAATCCACCACAACATACTACAAGGGTTTGAAGGAAAGTTATCATGTCTATATCTAACAAAAATACTACTAACATATTCAAACTCATCCATAAGCTATGGTTCCGCACAGAAAATATACCTCATATCCATGATCATAGAGACGCTGTGAAACTATTTCAGCACTTTGTAAGAATTCTTCTTCAGATATTGTCCAGCAAAAGGAATCATAGGAGTTCCAACCTCTTGGTGGGAGGGTAGCTTGCTGTTGGTCACTCCTCGACACATTTTGAGAGGACACGCTGAAATGACAGGCTTAGATACATTATATAGAAGTCATCTCTATAATCTACTAATTTGTCTAATATCTCACAAGTAATGACAGAACAACTGAACAAGGTTACAAAGATTATTAAGGCATCCAGAGGTTGGCTAAGATGTGATTGAGCTAATTACTATTTAATTTAATCTAGTTATCTTTACTACTTTCTTCGGTTAGTACAAAATTGAAGCCTGATTATAAGATTTCAAATATATTTAACATACACGGTTCCAAATTGAAGCTTGTCATAATAATTCAAAACAATATTTATGATAATCAACATAAATGCTGGAATGTGTATAGAGTAGTGATTTTCAACCTCGCTAAACTCATCAAATCAATCAAAGCCTTAGATTCCTGGAGTTGACTTCATGCAAGGAAAGTGCCTAAGGCAAAAGTGACATTGAGATGCTGATTTTAAGAATTATCATAGGCATATGCTAGCCAAAAACTGCATTCAGAGCAGCTTTTGTCCTGCAGTGATGAAATACTACATTCGAACTTTTGAAGCAACCCACAAGATCAAACTTTGGAGAAACAGCATAAAACCTTTTGCGTTTTGAATTGAATTGTGCAATTAACACAAAAACGATGAGATATGCGATGCAATTACTGATCAGAGTAGTCTTCCAATGTGGAGAGGGTTCGGTTAGGAAACATGCAAGTGAAACACACAATCTACTAAATGGTCGCAACAGAAAGAACAATGCAAAGACAACATACCTTTCAAAGCAGAGACAGAGGAGAAAGCAAAGAGAGAAGAATGATAAGAGGAAACACTTCATCATTGCTTTAGCTGTTTCCACAGAGTTAAACGCAGTGTATACACTAACAAAAATCTCCATTATTTTAGTTCGTTAATTGGGACAGAGACTTTTATTAATGTCTGCGTTAAATAAAACTATTATAAATACTAAATTAAATAATTAACAGAGTATATTGAATATTTAATTTTTTTAAAATATTTTTAAATTTTTATAATTTCATTTATTTTACTTTTTAATCTTTATATTAAAATAAGTTTTTTAGTCCTAATATTTATTATTTTTAATCCTTTTTAATTTTTATATTCTAAAATAAATATTTTACAGTTTTTCTTTTAGTTCTTATAGTTAATTTTTTATATAATATTATTTATTTTGTGTTGACGTGATTGAAGTTTTTAATTTTGTGAGAGTAAATAATTTATGTCTCGATAATGAATATCACAAGTGACGATATAAAAGAGGCATAAAGCATCGAAAAAAATTTAACTTAGAATAATTTTAGCTAATTAAATTTGATATCAAATATACAAAATTGAATTAATATATTTGATACGTCAATACGAAAGAGAACATTATGAAAAAATTATTAATTTAGACTAAAAGATTGAAAAATTACATGTATAGAAACTAAAAAGATATATCCTAAACTAAAAGAATTAAAAAGGATTGAAAAATCTTATATCCTTTAAAACTTATCTTAAAGAATCTCAATATTATTCTTCACTAACTATTTTTTTAAAATTCAAACAATGAGCCTAAATCACCACAGTCAATATTTTCCTTGGATGAAGAACTCATTGTAAGTACAAATAAACAACTATTCAAGAAGTCAAAAGATGGATCATCATCAAATAAAAAAAGTTTATTCTAGGAGAAAGACATCTATACAAATTGTTTGACAATTTCTCAGATGAAGAGTTAATTCTAATTCAAAATTTAAAGAAAAATAAACCAAAGAAAAAATAATTCAACAACCTAATACCGAGAAAGAAAATTACTAAATATCCATCTAAATAGTGATTTGTATTCATTTTAATATCATTTTTTTATATTACAAAATTTTAATTTACATGTATTAACATATTATATAAAAAATAAGAAATTTCAATAAACCGCACAACGGGCGATTCTATATCTAGTTACTATAATTGGCCGAGAGATTCGGTGATATGCCAAAATTCCTAAACTGTGAATGGAAAAGGCCACAGAATTAAGTATTAACCTTATACCTCTCTCTATTAACTGGGGTGGGTTTTTGGTGTGATAACTCGTTAACTACATTTTTGGTGTCGCGAACTAGTTAAATATATAATTTGGTGCGTTATATTTGGTTTGTTTCGCACCTGCGATCCCCGCAGATTCCTTACCCAACAACCAGAAACGAACCTTTCATATTTGGCTTGGTTCGGCTCTCTTTAATCAAAAGTTCAGTCAGTAGACACACGATAACATAATACTTAAAAAGTGATTTCTCTTCTTATTATACTCGAAACTTTTCTTTTTCGAACATAAATGTTGTTATATTCCCGATTACTTCTTCATTGTCTGTCCTTTTCCTTTTCAATCTAATACCCAAGACTGCATCAGAATCGAAGGCTGCAATTTTGGGGTTGACCATCACATTATTCACGTTCTAATCCTCTTCTGTTTTCCAGTTTCCAATCACTATGCAAAGAGAAGAGGTAACTGCACCGTTTTCCTTCACAATCAACTGAATGATCAGACTTTTTCTCGTAATTTGAGAACATACCTCATATTTTTTACCTTCTCTTTAAGAGGCAAATTAAACAATATAATCAATAGTCAATTTTTTAATCATTTTCTGATTCATTTTACACGTGCATTTATTTTATCTCAAATTTTCAAATGCATTTAAACTCCACTCTATCTTTGCACTTTTATAGAGCCAAATCCTGCCTGTTCTGTGCATAGTAAAATTACAAGAAACCTAGCAACATGTAATTCATTAATGATTTGCACATTTTTCTTAGTACAAAAAAATAATCACTTTGTTTCCTGGAAGAAAAGTGGACGGGGATTGCTACATGTTAGAAAAGACAAAATTCACCTGGTGTCTCGGTAAAGAGAATATACTCAATAGGAACTCTGTTCATTAAAATGATAACCAACAATCCAATCCCATTCCCTTCAAGCCATTATCTCTGCTCTAAATTTCTATTTACTGCCCCTCCTACCTCAGCTTGCATTAAAAGCAACCCACACTCCGACGTTTGTTTACCCTGGAGATAGATAGAATTCATAACTTAGATCGCATATTTCTCCCAAACGCAACTCGAGTAAAGTCCCAATGTCATCGATAAAATTGCTGTAATCAGGCTCTACACATGCAAGGAGTCAGAGGGTTCTCCCAGAGGTCATAGTTAGGGAAAGTCTCTTCTGGCAATCCCGTCCGTGTCTGGTGCGTAACAACAACATCTTCTACAAAAGTAGCCCAACCCATGTATGGATCCCCAAAAGACTTGGACATTAGCCCTTTGTCAGGCTTAATTGATTTTAGACGGTGACCCATGTATCTACGAGCCCCAATGATCAGCTTAGCAAAGTTGCCTCCATGGGTCATCACAAATACATCTGATTTCAAGCACACCAAGAAGTCAAGAGCTGCTAGGCTCGTCACATGCTTTCTGAAACCATCTAACTCCTCTTTAGTTGCCAACTCCTCCTTGGTAACCTGTTATCAAATGGGGAAAAAGATTAATCACATTGCATAAGAATCAAATCATCAATTCATACATGAATAGTGACATTGGAGGAATAAACTTAATACATTTACTTAATTGTAATGGATAAATAAATTTATATATAAATATATATATAGAGAGAGAGAGAGGGAGAGAGAGAAAGAGAAAAAACATTGCATCATAGCCTGAATGCTTGATAGCCTCAATTGACATTAGAATTTCATGTTATGAAATCACTTGATTTAGTTCATCAAAAACAAAAAGAAAGAGAAAGCTTCAAAATCTCTAGGACTTCACGGAAGCATCATGCAGATTTTTTATAATTCATGTGGTCGTAAAGAGGCCATACCAGATTAGGGAACATATTCCTTAGCGGAGCCATCCTGTTCTGTCCACCATACACCTGTCCGGAAGCTACGTAAATTTGAGTTTCTTTTGGATAGCCCATGGCACGAAGAATAACAGCCACTTCTCCAGGCTCTAGAGGACATCTTCCTTCCTTTCGCTTCTGCAGAGCTAATTGCCACAGATGGGAACCATTCTGCATTTTCAACAAATACAATGTGACCAAAATGCTCCAATAGAAAGTTCTTGGTGTTCATATTGATTTCTAATAAAAAAAAGTAATATGGTCACCTTGTACCGTCGAGGCCATTCCTTTTTTCTATACTCAGCCATTTTAGCCTTCTCCTCTCTTGTCCCCACAAAATCACAGAATGATAGTCCCACCATTCCTTTCTCAAATCTAAGATGCAGAGCCCTGTTTACAGTATAATTCTTAAATCACTGACAGTGGAAAAAAAACACCCAAACTCAGCTACAGCAAGATCTTGATCACAAATGTCACATACATATAAGGATTAGAACTGCCTGTTCGATTTCTCATCCTTGATGCTAGTGAATCAGCCATCTCTTCTATATCAGGAAGAAATTTCAGAGCATGATAATTGACTCTACATCTCAACTTGTTGATTTCAGGTGGAACGTTGTCATATCTGAAACAACCAAGACATTGTGACAACATCAATTACATATTAGAAACTGGCATCTAGCATATATATCATCCATGGCCTACCCCAGCCTGTCAACAAACGGTTTCAGAGCCATAATCTTCTTCTCCTTGATTCGGGGCAGAACATTGTCAATATAAAATTGTGCCGGTGCATATTTTGGAATGTTTTTTACAGTCCGCCTGAAAGACAATATATTTTTGCTTTGTTAGTCAAGCCAAGTGTATCCAATCACAAAAGGCATCAATAACAAAAAACAACTATTGGAAACATCTTGGTTGACATTGTTGGTAACAATATCCTAAAGCTAAGAGAAACATGTAAGAAGTTTGATGTTTGAAAGACAGAAATATAGACAGAACATTCTGTTTTTGTCTTCTCTGGCAATAAGCAATCCACCTACCGAACAAAAAATAATCATCACCAATTTAGGACATGTTTACTTAACAAGCAATTTAATTTCATAATAATCATGGTATTCGGTCATAAAACCCGGGACTTCCATCAAAACCAAAAGCCAGTAAGTCTATGGGTGAAACAGAAAACCAACAAAAAAGCTATCTATAACTTATGGTCAAAAGGCAAGTAGTCAGTAAATCTTGATATATGTATCCAGGAATCTCAAACATTAAATTCATAATTATCATGCTATCTGGTCACAAAACCCAGCACTTCAATCAAACATGACGTCAATCAGTGAAAAAATAAATAAAAAAGATACTGGTTGAGGACATATTATTCCATATCTAAATTTTAAGGGGGGATAGATATATTTTTCCATCTCTCATACCAGCTTGGGATATTTCAACAGATTAATTAATAAAATCACAAGAATCTATCAAACCTTATGCTAGTAAATAGCTCTGATTTATCAGTAAACCATTCTGGGATATCACGGACAATACGAACATCATATTTCAGGTAGTCAATGAAGTGATCCACATCAAAAATGTCTTCAAATTTCCTGATATCATGAAATGCTTCACCATGGTCAGCAAGGAGGACTATCATTGAAATCTACCAGACAAGGCAAGAAAACTAATAGGAGAAAAGAGGAAAGTACAGCTGGGGGAGTGATAAAAGACATGAGAGAGTAAAAATTCAAGAACTATCGACTTAATTGATTAAAGAAAAATATATTGATGATTTGATGTTGTACATATGCTTAGCAAAATGGTGGTAGTAATTAAAATTAAAGAGTTTAATTAGGAATTTGGTCCCTGTAGCTGAAAACTTTTTTAGTTTTAGTCCCTACATGAAAAAATCTGTTTTGGTTCTTATACAAAAAATCATTTACACATTGGTTCATGCCATTTGTACCAGTTATCAGTGTTAGTGAGATGCTAAGTTGTCTAACAGTATCCCTCTGGCAATTAAAGTTGACAGCAAAGAATAACATCAATGAGTCAGTTTCTTCTTCAACCTTAAATTAATCCATGAAAAACTTTTCTCCAACAAATGCGTGATTTTTCTGCATCCACCACACCCATCAAATACTATCCCAATCCATAACCAAGAAAAATAGCAAGCCATTCATCAACCAAAGTTCTCCAAATCATGACCGATACCCACAAACATCTTAAATTAGACCAATACCATCCCAAACATCACACAGAAAACTTCTGCAATTCACTGCTTAACCAAACTCCTAAACACCTCTATGATACTTTTCTCCACAACTCCTACAAACAAAGAAAAACAACAACAATCCAAAGCCCATAACCCAGAAAATAGCAATTTTTTCCTCTTAGCAATTCTCAAACTAATAATTATAATAATAACCTCCATCTCTGCCCTTGAACAAAAGCCACATTTCACCATTTTCCCAATAAGAGCAACACATCAAATGACCCTAAATCACCTGCAAACTGCCGGATTAGTAGCATCTACCCCACAGTCAGAGTCTCCAAATTACCCAACCATAAACAGTCACTGAGGCAGCTAATCTTCATTGCTATTACATTATTGACAATCACACTGCCTCGGTGCTTCTATACTCCTTTAAGACCCAATACAGAGACACACTGCCATAGTTTGCATCCTTGAGCCATAAAACCAATAGTAGGATGCCAGGGTTGGATTGATTTGGTTTGGTTTGTGACAGTGTGGTTCTACAATTTGGAACGAAGGTTATTAAGTTCATAAAAGAAGTTTTGTTGCTAGAACTTTAAGTGTGGAAGATTGTTTTGCTTACAAGAACACACCAACTTTACTCTTGATTAGATTTTAATGGATTAGGGATTTGAATTTGAAGAAGAAGCTGACTCATTAACTACGCCTTTTCCTTTCTGTCGAATGTAATTTTCAATTTCATGCAAGAACATCATTAGACAACTCGACATCCCACTAAAACCATGATAACAGAAATACAGAGCAGGGACAAATACAAAAATGATTTTTCATGAGAATCAAATTGTAGAGTTTTATCACGCAAGGATTAAAAAAAAAGTGTTAACTGTAGGGGCTAGGGACCATCTTACTAATTTAACTTATCCAAACAACATAACAAAATGGATGAGATCTTACGTTTGGTCCTTCCAAATCTGGTCCTGCTTCAAAACAGGCAAAATAAGAGTGGCATTCATTATTTTTGCCACAGCCACTGCATTGCATATCTGCATTAGGAAAGGTGTGCAAAAGTGAATCATTTGAAAAATAAATATTATATAATAATCCTATGAAACTTTCTATAGATTATCATATAATACCCATTTCAATGTACAATACAGGACAGTAAAAATCACTACCATGGATCAATTGCAACATTGAATTTGCATCAAAATCAATTTTAAACATTAATTCTAGTAGCATTGCTATTTGCTAGTGCACCAAATTGGAAGTAGTATATAGTACAGTATTCAGACAGCAGTTTAACAGTAACATCAGTCTCCTTAGTTGATTCTATCTAAAAAGTGCATCATAAAATTTAAGTGCAGAAAATGCTCTTCTCGGTTTATTATTTTTCTTTTAATTTACATTAGGCAGTTCGAGGAACATTATCTTCACATATTTTACAATAGGAAGGAAATTCTCCAACTAAAATGCAGCAGTCTACAAGAGAATGATGGAAATACGAGAGAAAACAAACAAACAGTAAAATGTCAAATTTAAGGTAAATTCCAGAAAAAGAACAGTCTTAACTAGAGAATATCACAAATGAAAGAACATAACTCATACCGCAATTCTTTGCTGATTTAAACCACCTTCAGCATGGATGAATATATAGCCATTTGTTTCATTTTCAGGGGGAAGTTCTACAAGGAGGTACAAAAAGTACTATCAATAATAGCAGTAGAACTAGAAACAACATGCACGGCACTAATACGAATATACTCCTCGATAACATATATGAGATGAATGAAGAATATTACACCAAGAAAGAAATGAAAAAAAATAATTTCTAGATCGCTTTACAGAACTCCCTTGTTAAAACTAAAAAGATTCAAACTTAGTGAAGGGAGAAGCCGAGGTGATAAGAAAGTTAGAGTTCATTCAGTCCATTATCAAGAACTGAGTTGCAGTGCCAGTGATAACTAAATAGTATCATCAAACAGTCTTGAGATACCAATTACAACTGATCTTGGTTGATACTACTCACAAATGCAAAATATGTTAAATTATCATTTGTCATAATTTCTGGATGAAGATATTCTTAGTATATTTGTTAATACCATGTTTCGGCATGGCTTGCAATGCTGATGAGATGTTAAATATGTAAATATACTAAGAAACGGGAGAGGAAAAGAAAAGGAACCTGTTATATCACCATCCCGGCGCTCAGCACAGGGCTTCCAAGATGTTGTGGATGAAAAAGGATTTTCCCAAAGTGATGGAGACTCTTTAACCTAAAAATACCACGAAAGAGACCATGTGAATGAGAAAATAACACCAGTGGCATTGAATAATACAGAAAGAGGAAATGAAGCACCAAAACTTACATGTGGGCAGTGAAGAACAATCCCATCCTTTTTACACAAGTAAGGCGCATTCTACAATATAAATTGAACAGGAATTCAATTATGGGAACCAGCTAAAACAAAGGAGTAAGTAATACATATGACAGCATCAGCTGAACTGTTTCTTTCAAATATAACCAAAATTCCATAAATTACTAATGCAGCTACTCATCACTTAAGTTACACAATAGCCGAACATTACCAAATCAAAACACAAGAAATCAATTCCAAATACAAATTCCACCATAATTTAATTTGATTCGAGATAAACAAAATAACACCACGCATTACACGTGAGGAGTCTCGTTTTCCACGTGGCGAGAGGCGAATAACGATGCGTTAGTAGCGAATCTCAAAATGCAGGCAGAGAGCACTCACGAGTTTATGGAAGATTGTGAAGACGGAGAACAAACCGACGAGAATAAGAAGGAAGGTGAAACAGAGAGAGATCCTGGAGTAGTGAGGGGAAACCCTAGGGTCGTCGGTGAAGAAGGAGCAGAGGTGGCGGTCGCGGTCCTTGGAGGAGTGGCGATCGTGCTCGTCGTCGTCGTGGGCGAGGTGGCTGTCGGGAATGAGAGGGGAGGAATCGGCGACGGCAGCGCCGGCGGCGTCGCGCTTCATCGGAGAGGATGAGGCGCGGCTGCCGAGGGAGGAGGAGTGGCGGAGCTCCGCCATGCTCCGATTCGCGATGGAGTTTTCTCGCTCTATTTTCTCTTTTCGCGTTTTCTCTTTCTATCACTAAAAAAAAAACTAAGAAGCAGTGACGATTACTGCTTGGCTTAGCACAGGAGAAAGCAACGTTTTCTTGTTGTGGGCGAGTCCCATGTGAACTCAGATCCACTTGTTTGCGCGATTCTTTATATTCTTTTCCACAAGGAGCAACACACTGCATTATTGAAATGTAATGTTATCGTGTTTTTTAGGCTTCGGTTCTGTGATGTAATTCCACTCGCTTCGTGAGGGCATGATCGTCATTTCACTACTGACACTCCTCTCTCTTCCCTGGGCCTGCAGGTGGAGCCTTGTTGTTTACTCTTTTTTTTTTTTTTTTTTATTTTGAGAATTGATTGAGTGTGAATAAAATATTTTTATATTTTAGGAACTATAAATATAATCAATTATTATTTTTATAATATTTTATTACTTATTTTATCATCTGTAATAATTTTATTTAACTCCAACAATGTTATTTATAGTAGATAATATATAATATATATTGTGGCTTGAGAGAAGGAATAATTAATTAATTATAACCATCAAACCTCGTAACTCTTGATATTGCTAAAAAAACTATGGACAAAAAAATTGAGCAAAGTGCATGTATTTAAGTCCCAATAGAGGTTATTGTTGTTGAACTCCAGTATAACTCTTGCACAGCCTAATGAAAAAGTTAGACAGACTCACAACATCATCCCCTATAGCAAAACATAGATTAAATGAAGAAAAATTAGTTGCCTTGAAATGAGTCGTTGTACTCTTGTTGGTTTATGAACGTATTGGAAATGAATAACAAACTCTTAAGCATGTACAAATTGTATTTTTTTATTTATTATTTATTTAGAACTATAAATTGTATCTCAATAAGTTCAAGATTTTTTTTTTGAAAGATAAGTTAAACAAGATTATAAGGGACATAACACTCTTATATAATTCTAAGAGAAGTTTTGCTTTATCAAATATTCTTTACATGATATAAAATATTCTTGTTAAATTTATGCAAATGATATTCAATAGATTAGATTGAAACTTTTATTCATTAAGAGTCAATTAATTGAATACTCGTTCGATTTAAAACTCTTGCATGTAATAAGTTTAAGATAATCTTCATCAAACATTTTGATTGGGACGATGATAAAAAAAAAAAAAAAAAAAAAAAAAACTCTTTCACTAGAAAAATTAAATGCAAAATAATGATTTGTTAAGAAAGGAATAATAAACACTTACGAAAAGTGATTATGTTTATATGAAGAAGATGATCATTAAAGGAATGAAACATTTTTAGTTAACAAATTATGTACTATGATTCAATGATTCATTCGAAACAATCCAAGAACTCTCATATGATCCTTACATCAAACTATGTGAATGAGAACCAATTATGTTACATAGTTTTAGCTTTTGGGCTTTGGTTACAAGATTCCTCATAAAGTTAAAGTTTAAAGATGAAAAGTAAGTTAAGTGAGATCAAGTGAAATTTTATTGTTGTTACTTTCCCAATACAAAAGACTTATCATCTTAACCTAAAGGTTATTACTTTGATGTTGAGTAAGAGTGATACCTAAATTCTACAATGTTACTATTAATTTATAGTTACCAATGCAATGTCATAAGTTGTGAAAAATAAGAAAATTGAAAATTAAAATGTTGTCGAGTTGCTATGGAGTGATTAATATAAGAAGGATGTTTAAATGGAATATAGGATTTTATAAAATGTTGGTTTAGTTTGACAAACACAAACCAATTTGAATCAAATATTCTACAAAACAAAATGTTTAAAAAATTTTACTGTAATCAATAATAATTTTTGACAATGAAATAACAATAATTTTAACAATAATAATAATAACTACAAATATAATATGACATAATTGAAAAATAAACTTGTCTCTTAATTATGTAGTATTAATTCTCAAATCAAGTATTTTGAAAAAATGTTATAAGATATTAATTTTTTAAATAAATCTTAATATATTTCATACATTTGTAATAAAGGATATGACAGCTACAAACTTGATATAACATAAATGATAAATAAACTTGTCAATTAAGCAAGTGATTAAAAATATCACATACAATAAAAAAAAAAACTGTTAAAAATAGATAAATCTCTCAAATGAATCTTAATATATAAAAAATAACTATTAAAAGTATACCTTAAATACACTTAAAAAAGTTAAATGAGATAATACCAATTTATTGTAGTGACTATTATATTATTGGTATATTATTAGTAGACTTCTAATCACTTTTTTTTTCTCACATAATTAAATTCTCTAAAATGAAATTTTTTATCATTAAAACCCCATACTTTCTTATTCTCATTATTTAAATATTGACTTAAATATATTTTTAGATTTTAAAATTTGAAGTAATTTAAATTTCGATCTCTCAAATTTAAAATTAACATTTTAATTATTTGTAATATTAAAAAAATTATTTTAGTCTCGTAAATTATGAATAATATATTTGACAGTAATAAATTAAGATAATTATACAACATTGATTAAATTTAATATAATATTTTCACTAATAAAAATATTGAAAGGCGAATTCTGTATAACAATATAATAAAATTTGATCATAAGAATTAAAATATTTTTTTTTTCAAATTATAAAAAAATAATAATAATTTTAAACTTGAAGAAAAAAAAGTATCATAAATTTAAGAGATTAAAAATATATTTAATATTTTTTAAAAAATAACAATTACCGAAATTCATTGATAATACAATCCAAGTAGGAGATGTCTGTAGTCAAACCAGACCAAATTGAAATTCAACACGAGCAATTGTATTTGCTTGTTTAAAAAGAGAAGCTAATCTCGGAGTCTAATCTCATATATCTCTTATTTCTAATAAAAACTAACACTCTGTTTGGTTTCAGAAAACGTTTTTTTATTTTTTATTTTTTATTTTCAGGAAATAATTTTCATTTTCAAAATTTTAAATTTTTAAAAAATGTTTAATTTAATTATCTTCAATAAAAGTTAATAAAATGTCTTTGATACAAAATTTACAATAAAAAATTAAATAATAAATTTACATTATATATTAACAATAATATTAAAATTATTATATTGTTTATCTACAACTAATATCTAACTATATATACACATAAATTATTACAATAATGATCTATTTTACAAATGTTTTATTTAATCCACTTACATTTATTATTAGTTAAATATTCTTACATGAAAAACAAATGTCGCAATACGTAATCATTTTTTATATTTTTTATTCCAAAGTACCTATCTTTTATTTAACAAGTAGTAATTAAGTATCAAAATTAAATATTAAAATTAAATATTATCGCTATGCACTATTTTTATATTTACTTCAATATTTTTTAACCTTATCTTTTTTAAATATCATTTATATTAGTTTAATATTATTTTAAAATCTTGTCTCCTTTCATATATCGTTTTTATATTTATTTCATTTTTTAAAAAAATCATCGATAATTCAAATTAATTTATATCATGACACACAAAAAAATCATAAATCTAAAATATAATTTATATATTCAAATTATTTATTTATTAAAAATTTGAATATAATGTAAATAATAAAAATATTTATTTATATAAAATAAATAATAACTTTGTATATTGCACAAATTAAAATGTTAATAAATATAAATATAACTAAGATTATATTTTATTTTTCATAAATATATAATATTATTTATCTTAAAAACACAGAAAACAATTAATATTTAATCACACTAAATATTGAACATAACTAACAACTAATATTTAATTATAATAATTATATATAATTAAAATTCTAGAAAATAATTATAAAAATCAAAAAATATAAAATGTAAAAGAATACCTAATTAAAATTATAGAGAATAATTATGTAAAAATAAATCCAAATACATATCATAATTATGTAGTAAAATATAAAATGTAGAGGACAAGTAATTCAGTTATGTGTATTAGGTATCAGTCAAACAAATATATTCACTGAATTATGAGTGACATAGGATTCAAAGGGAGTTAGGCAATTTTTCTCTCATAATTACTATTGTACCATCCTCTTTTTAAGAATTTATTTTCAAAAATACAGAAAATCACAATTTTGCATTTTCAAATTTGAGTCTTTTTAGAAAAATATTTTCAAAGAAAATATTCTTTATAATTAGAATAAACATATTTTCATGTTTATTTTTCATTTTCTCTTAAAGTGAAAATAGAAAACAGCCAAACCAATTAGGTCTAAGATTTTATTGGACAAAAATGTCACATGAAAAAAAAATTCAAGTTCTACTGTTCCACTTCTCCCTTTATGATCATCCTCATCGAATGAACTTAAACCAAGGGCTTTTTGACCTCAGTAAATTAAAAAAAAGTTAAAAATACATGAAATAAATTAAAAAAAAAACTAATTACTGAAATAGGTAGTTTTGGACAAGTCAGCACATACGTGGCAGTGAAAACGCCTGGGGGTGGGCGTTTTTTAGAAAAAGCCTCCCCCCAGGCGCCTTCTATTGCTGATGTGGCACGGGCAGATTTGAACTGAAAACGCCTCCCCCAAGCACCTTCTATTTTTAGAAAGAGCTTCCCTCAGACACTTTTTATATATGGAAAATTTGAAAAGAAAGAATCTGTGGGGTAGGCGTTTTCAAAGCCATCTCTCACTGAGAAACGTACTTAATTAAATTTTCTTTAAAATAAATATTTATGTTTAATAAGACTTTTCTAAAATATATTTTTCAATGATACTGTTTTAGAAAATTTATTTTCAAAAATAATAATTTATCTTTTTCTTTTTTATTTCAAAATTAAATTTCAATATTTTATTAAAAAAATTGTTAACAGTTAAAAACATACCTTGTATAAAAATATTATTATTTATTACAAATTAAAATATTTTATTTGTTTAAAAACATTTATTTATTATAAATTTTAATTATAATATAATTTATATAATACAAAATATTTATTTACTGATATTTTAGTTATATAAAATGAAGATTTATCTTATACACATCACGTATGAGAATAGTTGTAAAAAACACATTCAAAGTAGTTGTAAAAAAAAATGTTAAAATACAAGTTAACTTTTTTAGTAACTATGTTGTTAATACAAAATAATTGAGTCTTTTCTCTCAGTAATATATTTTTTTTACACAAAACCTGAATTCTAAATTTAGAGAATTGAGTCATACACCACTCAGACTAGACTTATTAAATGTTAAAAATTATTTTGAGTCTATTATAGAAAGATGTGATTTTAGTTAATTTAAAAGTTACATACCGAGTTTGGAATTTAATGCGCATAAATTTTATTTGAATTTATTTCACTAAATGAATTAGTACTTAAAACAATGGTGAATTATTATTTTTTAATTTTTTGTTATTAAATAATATTTTCTCAAAATTAGGACATGTTTTCTTGCTTTTAAAAATAAAGATTTACTCCTTTTATTTTCTATTATAAGTAAAAAAAAATGTCTTGAATATAAGCAAATCACAACTACTTGTATCTCTTTAAAAAAATTTAAAATATCATTTTTTTGCTTTTCAATTTTCTGATACTCATATTCTCTATTGGTTTGTCTCATATTATGTCCTCAAAATACTATATTTGATAATATAAATTATATTTAAAATTAGTATACATAAATATTTTTAAATATATAAATTATATTTTAATTTATGATAAATCATTTTATTATAACACTATTTATTGATAATTTAATTTAAAATATTAATATTTAATTAATAAATAATTATATTTTAATTTTATTTATCATATTTATTTATAAGTTAAATTTTATTTTTTAAACAAAGTCAAAATAATTAAAAATAATATTGTGCTACAATATAAATTATTTATCTCAAATCTAAAATATACTTTATACATTTAAAAATATCTATTTATATAAATTTTAAATATAAATTATATATTCAAATATAATATTTATTTATATGTATAATTTATTATAAAATTTAAATATAATAAACATTTACTCTTTGCGATATGTAAACTAAAATATTAGTTATTTTATGAAATGATTTTAAAAATAAAAAAACAACTTAATCAAACACAATGTTTCTCAGGGAGATGTGGCTTTGAAAACGCCTACCCCACAGATATTTTCAAATTTGCCATATATAGAAAGCGCCTGGGAGAGGCTCTTTCTAAAAATAAAAGGCGCCTAGGGAGGAGGCGTTTTCAGTTTAAATCTGACACGTCAACAAAACGCCTGGGGGGAGGCGTTTTCAGTTCAAATCTGCCCGTGCCACATCAGCAATAGAAGGCGCCTGGGGGAGGCTTTTTCTAAAAAACGCCCACTCCCAGGCGTTTTCAGTGCCACGTGTATGCTGACTTGTCCAAAACTACATATTTCAGTAATTAATTTTTTTTAATTTATTTCATGTATTTTTAATTTTTTTAATTTACTGAGGTCAAAAAGCCTAAACCAAGAGACAAAACTCATAAAAAATAAACAAGAGACAAAAAATAATTCACATAATTTATATTTGATATTAAACTTAAAGAAAGATTTTTTTTTTCAAAACTCAACATTGACATATAAAATATACTTAAATATAAATTAGAAGTATTGTTGAGAGTTTATTTATTGAAATAAGAAATATTTTTCTTAATAAAAAAGCTTTCAAAAATATTTTTAAACTTATATAAAAATAAACTAACATTAAACGATTAACAATTTTTATTTAGTTTTAATAGTTGAGCTAGAAATATATGAACTAAAAAGAAATTTCAAGAAGTTTTGCAAATTCTATTTTTTTTTAGTTTTTTTATTAAAATATTTATTTTAAATTTCTATATATACTATTTTTTCATTTTATTCTTAGTCGTATATTTTTAATAGGAATTAAAAGAGAAGGTTAACATAATTATAAAAATTAGAAGGATCGAAACATTTCGTGTCTTTAATAATTATATATAAATAAAATATTAAAATATTGTGTCTAATTATTTAAAAAAATATATAAATTTTCTTTTTTAATATTTGAAAGGTATAATATCTATTAAAAAGTAGAGGCTAAAGATAATTATATATTCAAATATTCTGTTTATATATTAGTATAAATAGGCTAAAGATAATTATATATTCAAATATTCTGTTTATATATTAGTATAAATAGGCTAAAGATAATTATATATTCAAATATTCTGTTTATATATTAGTATAAATAGGCTAAAGATAATTATATATTCAAATATTCTGTTTATATATTAGTATAAATAGGCTAAAGATAATTATATATTCAAATATTCTGTTTATATATTAGTATAAATAGGCTAAAGATAATTATATATTCAAATATTCTGTTTATATATTAGTATAAATAGGCTAAAGATAATTATATATTCAAATATTCTGTTTATATATTAGTATAAATAGGCTAAAGATAATTATATATTCAAATATTCTGTTTATATATTAGTATAAATAGGCTAAAGATAATTATATATTCAAATATTCTGTTTATATATTAGTATAAATAGGCTAAAGATAATTATATATTCAAATATTCTGTTTATATATTAGTATAAATAGGCTAAAGATAATTATATATTCAAATATTCTGTTTATATATTAGTATAAATAGGCTAAAGATAATTATATATTCAAATATTCTGTTTATATATTAGTATAAATAGGCTAAAGATAATTATATATTCAAATATTCTGTTTATATATTAGTATAAATAGGCTAAAGATAATTATATATTCAAATATTCTGTTTATATATTAGTATAAATAGGCTAAAGATAATTATATATTCAAATATTCTGTTTATATATTAGTATAAATAGGCTAAAGATAATTATATATTCAAATATTCTGTTTATATATTAGTATAAATAGGCTAAAGATAATTATATATTCAAATATTCTGTTTATATATTAGTATAAATAGGCTAAAGATAATTATATATTCAAATATTCTGTTTATATATTAGTATAAATAGGCTAAAGATAATTATATATTCAAATATTCTGTTTATATATTAGTATAAATAGGCTAAAGATAATTATATATTCAAATATTCTGTTTATATATTAGTATAAATAGGCTAAAGATAATTATATATTCAAATATTCTGTTTATATATTAGTATAAATAAGAGAAATTTATACAATTATATAAACTAAAATTAATATCACTATATAAACTAAAAAAAAATACATACAAAGGACTAAAATAAAAAACTTTTAATTATAGATTAATAGAGAACTAAATTAATGGAAAATAAAAACACCTATAACTACAAGACCCGACTGACGGTGATTGACTCACGGTTTACAGGCTTAACGAGGGTTTAAGAAGGGGAGCGAGCAGCGGTTGCCGGAAAATCCCTGTCAGCGAGCGCCATTGACGATGGCGGAGCCGGTGAGGCTTCGCGTGGTGTTTGACGATCGTGGCATGTTGACCAAGTCAAAGAAGAAGGAAGGGTTGAAGCGTTGCTGGTTTATGCCTAAACCCCAACACACCACCATTTCCGATGTAGCCTCTCATCTTCACAGCACCTTCCGCCTCCACCGCACATGTCCTCATGGCATCATCTTATCGGTATTCATATGCATGTTGCTCTATTACTCTTTTGCATCCTCATAAATCCGCATATCTTGATTATTTGATTATTCCATTGGTTTATTAAGTATGTCAATTTGACGATTGAAATTTTGGATAACTGTGTTCCTTCTTTTTTTTTTGGGGGTTTTGAATGCAGATGGATGGTTTTGTTTTGCCACCTTTCGAGTCCACATGCATTTTGAAGGACAAGGACATTATCCGGTGAGTTTGTTTAATTGTTGGTTTATTTTTCGATTTTTGCCCACATTTTGTGTTTCTGTAGCTATAGTTTCTGCTTACAGTGTTATAATGTTTGTATATATATGTTTTAGTGCGAAGAGAAAGGGTAGCATATCAAGTGATGATAAACCTGCAATGCTGCCACCTGCAACTCGTGCGCAACAGTATATAGATCTTCCGAAGCTTCTTGCAATCGAAGGGCTTCAGGAGGAGACTGGAGGAGAAGAAACCGAGTCCCCAGGGGATAACGATGATCAACTTGAAGATGCAGTTTATGTGGAGGAACCTAAATCGGAGGGGACGGCAGTCTCCAAGAAAAGAAAAGCTTCAAAGAAGCTCAAGAGCCCTAGGTTTGTTTTGTCCTCAAATGTTGAATTGTTTGTTCAACGTAGCTTACAGAGTTGTAAGAGATTTTTGAACATTATTAAGGGGTGTTTTGTCTTCTGGGTGTTTTGGAATCTGGTTTTGTTTCAGTAACTTTTGTGTTGATGCTCTTCTGAGACATGTTCTGTCTATGTAATGTATTTTGGCAAAGCTGTCTGGGGAACAAGTTGAAAAATAGGCATTAATCTTTCTGCTCTTATTTTAACTTAATTTGTTTTTTGGTGTATGATTACCCAGGGATATTCCTTTTATCTTCAAAACCTTTTTTGTTTTTCTTGTTTTGAAACTTTAGTGGTTATTTATTGGAGTATATAAACTTTATTTGGGTTCTTAACTTGATTCCATTATCTTCTATATTCAGCCAGAAGAAGATCAAGTTGTCTACTACAGAAAACTTGGCAGTCATTCCCGAGGGCCACGAAGAGGAAAACAAAAGCTCTGATGGCAGTGCTCATCACCAATTGAGTCTTGTCAACAACGAAAAGAAGTCTTCCAAGTTATCCAGTCAGACAATTAAGTCGAACAAAAGTGGTCCTACAAGTGATGAAACAAGGTGCATTTTCATCACATTTTTTATTCATATGATACTTCAATGGTGTATTTTTTCCTTATCTGATTGTGCATTGCAGTGTATATTTGGTTCTTTCTGGGCAAGGCAATTAGCTGATAAATTTTCATGGGCAAATTTTTGTGTGCATGTTTGGTTATGTTTTATCCAGTGTTGTTAAATAGATGCTATAGCGGAGCTATAATGCTATTACATTGCAGAATTCCTTGAATCTGCGACCATGACTCTGGTCTCTTTGCGGCCACTGTGGTGTCATGTTTGCAGCATGTATCCTACATCCTTTAGTCATCTCTACCAAGTCTCTAATTAATTGAACTTTTGAGTAAATATTATGTCAAATTTTAGCATTTTTTTGCTTACAGCTTACATTTTTTTTACATATATAGTTGATATTTTTCATATATTTTAGCTATTATGCAACTTCCGCCATTCACTATATGATATAGCATATTATTGGCTTTCCGCCATTTTCAGCAATCCGCATTTGATAACACTACTTTTATCTTGTTTATTTTTGGTTTGTCTGTCTCTGTTTGTAGATTAAGAGGTGTGCTTTGATGGAGTAAAAATCAATATGCCTTTTTAATTTGTGTAGATTGTTTGATTCCTGAGTTCCTCCAATTAAACCCTTTCTTTCCATCCAGTTTTAAATCCCTGCCCCTTATGATTTTTGTTTCCAGAATATCATAAATAGTTAATATTTTTTTCCTTTTTTTCCTCTGATGTGTTGTATAGGTTTGCTCAGCCTCAAGATGAAAGTGAAACTAAAAAGGTAATACTTTATTTGCACTTGTTTTTAATACACATATAGTTGTTGTTTGCACTGAACTAAATATGACAAAGTTCCATGTTGTCATTTCGACTCTAACATTTTGATTTTCATTATAAAATTGCCAAAGTTCACTTGTAAACATTTGGAGAATATTTTCAGTTTAAGGCTTAAATCTTGATTCTTTGGCTAATCAACGCTGAGGTATGATAACTTAGTGAGTTAAAAATATATAATTTCTTCAAGTCAATTTAGGAGCTACTTCTTGTAATTGACTCTAATGGCTGTGTTCTTGTGTCCTCCTACCTTCCGTAAAAAGGTTAAATGAAGTTGTGTCAGGATATGTTCACTCGTGTTTAATTTCCAGCTGAAGAATTTTAATAGGACTTGATGCGGCCAAAGATTTAATTGCCATTATATTACCTTGATTAGAATGGCTGAAATAAAATAGAGTAAATACTTAAATCAGGCCCCCAAAGATATAGGACATCTTGTTAGTTCTCCAAAGATTTTTTACATCAATTTGGTCCTTCATAGCATAAAATTAGAGTGAATTTGGAGATTAATTTGGTGTCTGAAGATATATACCAATACATTGAGTGATTAAATTGATGTTCATGTTAAACCATGAAGGACCAAATTAATATCTAAAAATCTTCAAAGGACCAATTGATGTCCCACTCCCATGTATATAGAGGGGCAATTTGAGTATTTGGTCAATAAAATACTCCTGCCCTGTGACAATAAAAGCAACATGTCTTTCTTGTTTGGTTCAAAATAGTACCCTGTAGCCCTTGGAGATTAGTTGGTGCTCAATGATTTAGGAATATCCATTTTTATGAATAATCTTTTTGGACACTTCATATCACTTGGTCATTTTATTATGTTTCAATAATCAGTCCTTTGATAGTCCATCTCTTCACAAAAGAAGCAAGGATGTCAAGTATTTACACTTCAATTTTATTCGGTTTATTTTATTTTGTCAGTTGCCTAGTAGAAGTGCTCGGCGGAAGAAAGCTAAAAGAAGATGGCTGAGGGAACTAAAATTAGAGGAGAAGCAGAAGGAGAAGGAGAAGGAAAAGGTAATCTGATTCTGTAGTGCTATTGCATTTGTATTTACATTTTATATGGAGATAAGTTCTCACTTATGAACAATGTTGTTAAATAGCCACTATAGCAGTGCTATAGTGCTATTGAGTCGTGGGATTCCTTGGATTTGCAATTGTGACTCAGTCAGCTATTGCAGCCAGTGCCACCGAGTGCCATGGTTGCGACATGCATCACTGTTTCGATAGATGGATGTGGGATTGTAAATGACTTTTTTCCCACTCAATCCCAATGTCGAAGTCATGTAAAACATGTTAAACTTCTCCCATATTTAAACCTCTGTTCATGACTTCATGTAAGTAAGGATCAATGAAGGACTATTTTGGGCCTCCATTAACATTTATTAATCTCCCCTTGCATCATTGTGTCATCTTTGACGAGTCTCTGGACAATTGAACTTGAGTTTATGTTATGCCAATTTTTATGCATTTTATTTTTATTTCCATACAACTTAATTTTATACATATACTATACACAACACACATAAATAATATATCAACTGCCATGTCACTTTTTTTTTTCAGCATGCCATTGTTATATGATATAGCGAATTATTGGCTGTTTATCATTTTCCATGATCTGCAATTATAACACTGCTTATAAATGGCAGTTTATTAGCTGTATATGATATAGTTGACTAGTTGAGTAATAGACTTTTGTCTGGTTATTAAGATTGCTGGGGTTGAAGTCATTCATCAGTTTTCTTGGAGTTCACTTGTCCAAGCTGCTTACTATTTGCATAATGTACTTGATCATTCTTTTTGATAAGAAATGTTCTTTTCTTCAAATTTTCAGCTCCATCAGACTCCAGTGCTTGAAAATGATAGACAAGATTTATCTGTCAAAGATAACAATTGTGTTGTTTCTGATGTACGTCAACAACCTGATGAAGAAAGTGAAGAAGAGGATGATATTGTTCCTGTGGAAATTAGGCCAGGGCACATTCGGTTTGAGCCCCTTAAAAAAGGTTTGAATGCAGATCTCTGCTATAAATATTTCTAAAGTAGCACTTGTGTTTTTGGCTTTAGAATTAATTGCTTTCATTATCTGATATATGTACATGGTCTATTTGATGCAGATCTGGATCAGGCAGTGCCACAGAATAAATTTCCAGTGGTTGGTTTGATTTTCTTTTAAAGATTCACAATTTATGCTTGTTTTATTCTCCATCATAAATATTCAATATCAAATACGTGATATTGTTACTTCTGCAGTGCAGAGAAGTGTACTATGCTTTATTGTTGTTGTTATTATTATTATTATTTTTTTTGAATTTGAACTACTTATGTTATGTTTTATTTGAGTTCTTAGACTATAGGTCTTAATGGAGAATAAACAATGTTCCCGTTAGAAGTGATTTGGGATTGGAAAGTTCAAATTTTACAGTACATCCTTTTCTTCACTCCTAGTTTCTTTCTTAGGTCCATGTGATGGGTAACATAGACAGGTGGGAGGTAGCTAACAAAATTCTTTTAGGATTATTCTTGGGAGATACTCCGAGAGGAGTCAATGTTAATATAAATTTTATGGCACTTCAACAGCTCATGTAATCCATATCTTGCTTCTCACTAAAGGGCTAAGAATAGTTTGAAGTGGTAGAACTTACTAGGTTGATTAATAATTCCATAAGTTTGGTGCACAATTGCTAATCCCATTTCAGTTCTGTAATGTGGTCAAAACCTTGCAGAAGGTGAGGATTCATCTTCTGGGTGTTTTGAGTATCAGGTGATATGCTATTATTTTTGTCATGATATTTCAATTGATTTGTAAATATTATCTGAATGTTTCAGGAAACATTTCAGTGGAATGGAATTACCAACAAGAAGAAGGGCCAAAAATGGGGTACAGAGAGAATGTCATCCCATAAACAGGATGACTACAAACATGCCAATATAGAGTATCCTACATCTCAGAATGTTGAAAAGGAATTCACATTCAAGGCAGGAGATTTTGATAAGCTTAAACCTTATACAAGCTTGCCTAAGGTGTTTGTTTTTTTTTTCCCTTCCCCCTAATGTGTCCTTATGGCATTTCTCATTCTGCTAAGTATCCCGGAAGTTAATTAATCCGCATCAATGTGTTAGGAGTCTTTTACGCTGTCTTTGGTTATACTTATACCATTAAAATTCTTATCTGTACTCTGTTCTAAGAATCTGTATATTTTGTTGAATGGTACTCATTTGGTTCTGCATAATAACTTGTTCATTTCAGGAAGGTGACGTAATTGCGTATCGATTGATAGAGCTATCAGAATCTTGGTCTCCTGAACTTTCCTCCTTTAGGGTACATATCAAGTCTGCTTTTGGATTACATCATAAAAAAATCTATGCATTATAAGTTTAATACGGATTACATGTGTCCTTGCAGGTTGGGAAAATATCTCAGTATGATGCTAAATCCAACAGGATTTGGCTGGAAGCACTTTCAGAATATCCATTTGATTTTAAGAAAAAAATAGACGAGGATGCATCTTCTGTACAGTCTGATCCATACCCTTATCGGGAAGATGGTTCTTTAGAGGTAAAGTTACTCCATTTTATTCTTTTCCCCATTTATTTCAATTTGAGTTGTAGCTTATATGACGGGGGAAAGTTAATGTATCCACTATGGTAAACAATATCCAAGAGGTGCCTGGCTTATGTTAATCTGATGAATTAATAGATTGCACGTATACTAAAGAAAAAAGAAAAAAGAAACTAATATCCACCTGTTGGTGCATACGTGTATTTAATTTTATCTTACTTTAATATCATGACGAAGCGTTAAAACCTTAATTGAAATTTCATGTCCAAAAAAACTTCTTTCTAATAGAACTAGCAGGCTGCTGCTTATTTGCATGAAATTGACAATGTTTTCCTTTTACAGATAGATTATGCATTGCTTGCTGACATTCGCATGGTTAAGCATGGTCATTCTGGTTCGAAAACTGTAGTTGTTTCTAGTGATGGTTGGGTCAATTTAACAAAAGCAACTGATGAAAAAATTGCGAGTGAGCAAACTACCGTGGGAAGTTGCCAGCCTGAAAGGGAAGTTCATATCCCTGCTAAAGGTAATGTACATTTTACGATTCTTGGAGTGTATGGTGTAGTATAGAAACATGAAAACATTTTGTAATTTTGTTGTGCTGAACATGTGGATTTCTTTACAGAAAATGGGGAAGTAAACGTGTGGGACGAAATTAACGAGGCATTAAAAGCAAAGAAGGCGAAGCTGTCGCAGGAGGATGGCTGGAGTAGAGGAGAGAGCTCAAGCACCAGGTCATGGTCCCATAGAGCCATGAGATGCAGTGCGCTGGGTCCCACAATGGCTTTTTTAAGGTCGAATAACGGACTTTAAAAAACAAGCCTACATTTGGGTCATGTCTGCTGTGAGTCACCTTTCTGCAGTATTTTGGTATATATGAACAAATTACTGAAAAAATCATCTGCAATGGACATTGCACGTCCTATTTCAGAATATTATAGGCAAGCAAAATATTTGAAGGCTTATTCTTATAATCCATCTTTACGATGTTATTAGTTGCACTCCTCCTGAAAACCAAACAGAAAATTGAATCAACTGCCGGACAAAATATGCGAGACACGATTGCTCACCATCCTAAGTGCCAAGATGAAGATTATGACCATAGATAAAAGCGCGACTTTTCACTCAATTAACTCTTAAAATTCTATGTTGTTAGTTGGTAAATCGTGTTGCATGTAAAACCTGAAAACTGAAAGTTGTCATTAGTTACTTTTAAAATGGAAGCAGTAACTAATGACAGATGATGTATTATTTTACAACACCGTTAGATAATTCTACCAACTTGTATGCATTCAATTTAAACATTATTTCCTAATTTCCTGATGAAGGCCTGCTTTCGCCTCACTCTTCACTTTAACTAGTAACTGTATCTGTTGGTGTTATGCACGAATTTGTGTATAAATAATAATATAAATATATTTTTAATGTTTATAAAATAAGGAGTTTCAATTTTAGTTTTTGAATATTTTATTTTATTTTTAAAAAATTTGCAAAAATTATTATTTTTTATTTTAATATAATTAAATTTTAGATATATTTTTAGTCTTTATAAAATAAGCGAGTTTCAATTTTGGTTCCTGAATTTTTTTTATTAATAATTTGATAGAAAAAATCATGAATTTTTTTTATTTATATTAATTTAAGAATATGCATAATTATTTGCATTAATTTAAAACCATTCATAATTAGTAATTATTATAACTAATTGTTTATGTCATGTTATTATAGTTTTTTATATTAATAATTTGTTATATATTTATGTGACTTTTATAAAAAAAATTGGTGAAAATTTTTGGAAAAGTAATATATCAATACATAACATTATTTTTTAATAATATTTTCCATCAAATATTAATAATTAGTATAAATAATTTACATGAAGTTTAACACAATAATTTTAGTCAAATTATGTGGGTTTTTTTTTATTTATAATTACTTTGAATTTGTAATAACTAAGCAGTAAAAAAAACTGTAATAATTAATTAAGTTAATATTTTATGATGTTACAATTTTCTATATTAATGTGTTGTTATTATATAATAATAATAACAGTAGTAGTAGTAATTCTATATAATATGTTTATTATATAATATGTTTTGAATCAATATTTTGTATTTTTTGATGAAAAATTAAAATTACTTGTATTTTAAAATTATCCATAACATGATTTTTAATAAATAAAAAAAAGTTTCTGTCAAATATTAATAAGTATAAATATTTTACATAAAGTTTAACACAATAATTGATTTTAATCAAATTATGTGATTTCATTTACAATTATTTTAAAACTGTAATAATATGTTTTAAATTAATATTTTGTATTTTTTGTAAAAAGTTTTAAATAAGTTTTATTTTTACATTAATATTTTTTTTATTCACAAATTAAATTACTTGTATTATAAAATTGTCTATTATGTTAATTTTTCAGTCAAATATTTACAATTAATATAAATATTTTACATGATTTTTAAAAATATATATATACTTTAAGAGAATAATTTGATTTAAAAAATATATTTTAAGAAATTAATTTGATTAATGTTATAGATTTCAATTATTTAAATTTAGTTGTTTTTGTAGAATTTTTTTTTTAAAAAATAGTTAATTCTTTTATTTTTGACACAAAATATTTAATTATTTTTATTCAATTTTATTCATTTATTTTGTCCAATTCATCATTTGCATTATAATTTTTTTAATTAATTATAGAGGTAGAACCTATAATATTTTTATTATTTATTGTGATATTAATTATTTTGATATATTTATTTATTTATGATTATTTTTTATATTAGTTTATTTTATAATAAAATTTATATATAAAAAAAAAACATGGAAAGAGATTTGAAAGAAAAGAAGAAGTTGCATAATTTCTTTCCTTTTATATTATTAATAGATAGAAAGATGCTGGTGCTCCAAATAAGTAAGAAGGGGAAAAATAGCTGAAGACGTAAAAGTAAATGAGAGTCCTATCTACTATCTAGTATTAACCAAGTTTAATTATTGTTATGTACTTCAACACAACAGTCTGAGGCAAAGTGCAAGTATTTATAACAAAAATTTACACAATTCAGGTTCCACTCATTGCATTAGCTTTCTCCTCTACTTCAAGCTCAGCCATAATATTCCCTAACTCTGTATCAAGATCCTGTGTGTCATTAATCTCACTCTGCGGTTCATCACCTGAACTAATGATACAGTGATCTGATATCAGCCATTTTTCTTTGTTTTCACCATCATATTGTTTGCAACTATCATTCTTCACCACATTATGATCTAAGTCAGGCAAAGAGAAAGACAGTGATCTTACCAGGTTGTTGGGGATGTGAGAGGATTCACTGGCTGAGGATGGCAACTTCAGAGGTGGTGGATTACTCCCTCTTCGCTCAGCAATGGAGAGGAAAGAACCTTTCAGTTGCAAGTTGGAGTTTGTCCCTCCGAATGTGTGATTAGCCGACAAAGTCTCCGAGGGTGAAGACACAACTTCTTTGTGAAGTAAAGAGGAACTTTCTGAGAAAGATGCATCTTTAGCATAAAAGGGTTCAGTTGATTCAAGGCCAGATGGTGATGGCTGCCGAGAAGACACGAAAGACAAGTCGGACCAGTTGGTAGAGGAAGGTGAAAAAGTAAATGAACTGGCATAATCAGAACTTGAAGGTGAAAGTGTTGGTGACTTGGAATTGAATTTTGGACTGCAGCTTATAAAACATGGAAAAGGATTCGATGGCAGTGGTGAAGCAACAGCAGGAATGGAGAAATTCATGGCTTCATCTGGATAGCATTCAAAGGAATCCGGCGAACCACAGGGATGAATTGATGATGGTGACAAGGGCTCATCTGCAGAATGTTGTTTTTCAGCTTCAACAGTTGCACTGGATTGATCATTGCATGGGGCTGAATTAGCATCATCACAGTTCCATTTAGGGGATGTGAGCAATCCACTAGCAAACTTTCGCCTCAGTTTTGCCCAACCGTGTTCTCTAGCAGGAAGGCAAGTTTCTGATACTGTATCAGACAAGGAAAAAGGTGGAACAACCCCACCAGCAAGTGCCTTGTGAAAAATCTCAAAATCCAAATCATATGCATCAACTTTTCTTGAACCAACTGGCTCAGCACTCTCCATGCCTTCAGAGGGCAACAAAACTGGTTCCTCAATGACCCCTCCTTTCTCAGAATCAGAAAGAGCAATCCAAAACCCTGGTGGTTCTTCACCTTCTTGGATGCTCAGAATCAGACCCTTTGCCCTCTCATAACGGATCACCTGAAAGGCTGCACTCCTTGCATTGCATGACATCACCTTGTTACAATGTTTCCCCTTCCAAACATAAATAGCAGAAGGAACATGAATAATGAAGGCCCCACGAGAATCAAGAGCTTGTGCACCTGGCTGGTTTACCATTTTGGGGACCAGATGGAGAGGGTCATAGGGTGAGTGAGGAGCCATCCGGTACATCCTGAGAATAGAATTTGGACTTGCAGGCATAGCATGTACCCTTTTCTGACACTGCAAAAGTTGACAAGCAAAACCCATGTTTGGGTTGGTCACAGCCCTTGCAGTCTTCACAAACTGAAAAGCATCTTCAAAGCTTTGTCCCTCTCTCCACATCAGATAAGCAATCACAAGAGTTGTAGATCGAGAAACCCCTTGGCAGCAATGGACAAGGACACGTCCACCTTGCTCCCGAACATCCTCAAAGTAATCAAACACATCATAGAGAATACTTGTGATGTCCTCCGTTGGACTATCCTGCAACCAAAGGGTCTTGTACACAAAATCACCTTTGAAATACTCGGGACAAACAAAGCCAACACAGTTGAGCACGTGAGTGATTCCGTTCTGCATGAGGAGTTCATGGTTCTTGGCCACTGTGTCACTCCCCAAGTATATATGCTCAGCAATTCTGGAACACTCCTTGTCAAAGAAGGCCAATTTGTCCCTCTTGAAGAGAAAATCCTTGGTGGGTTGACTTGAATCATAAGCTCTGATGGAGCCTCTTGGAGTCTGAGGAAGTGGCCAAACTCCAAGATCATCAGATCCAGCACTAGGCCATTCCTCCACGCTGCGCTTGTTGATTGAGAGAGGCTGAAGAGGTGGCAAAAGTGATCTTGGTTTGCTATTTGTTGGTGGCTTGCGGCTGTTAGGAGACCTATCAGTCCACGAAACCGAACGGGAATAGGTTTTCCATGCAACACCGGTGGCTTTCTCCTTCCCTTCTTCCCCCAACATGTTTCCAACCAAAAGGGTATGTATGCTATAGGATGAAAAAGACACAAACTTGATCCACACCCATTAAAGAATTGCAACTCACTCTTGAGTACAGGGAAAAGTAAAACAGAAATATAGATAGATGATAAAAAGGGGGATTCAATTCAAGTTGAGAAGCGTGGTAAATGGGAGGTATTTGCAGTTTCTGAGTCTACCCCTTGTGTTCCATATTCCCACCTAAAACGCTTGACCCTGTCCAAGTCTCTGACTCTTTCTTTGGTACATGTGTGTGCATGTTGATAAAAGTGAAGGGAGAAGGAAAATTCAAAGAAGAATAAGCCAGAAAAAGGTGGTTACAGAAAGAGAGTGGCCGATCTCGCCGTCCTAAAGGGAAGGTTTAGGATCCTATGTAATCACAAACCACGAACACAACACAAGACAACCTTGTCCGTGACAGAACATGACAGAGGGCAAAGAGTGTGTTTGTGTTGTATTTGGCTCAATAGTTGTTTGTTTGTAGTTTAGTTGGTTAGTTGTGGCAGACCAAGCAAGTAGCTTGCCACCTAAGAATTCCTCACTATCACAAGTCTTGGTCTTACACTTGGACCACGAGGGAATCAGTCAAACCGCCACGTCATCATCACCACTTTTCTATTCATATCTTTCTTTCCTAACTACTTTATCAGCAAGACCAGTGGCAAAGCTGAGTTTCTCTTTCTATTAACATGTGTTGGATCTTTTTAACCTTGGTATTTGAAATTCTGAAATGGAAAGAGATAAATAATGAGGTGAAAAATGAAAACATGGAAATATGTAACTCTT